ACAAGCTGTGTTGGAATGTGCAAGCCGAGGAGAGCTCAGGCAAATCCATGTCCGCCGCCAGAAATACGTGAGGGCACCTGCTACTTTCAAGGTTTTGGGCTGATTGCGGGCTGCCTTGGGTAATCGCGAGTTTGCAGAGGGGCAACGAAACCGGCTGCATTCTGCCAACCACAATCTCCGATGCAGGATAGCATGTATTCAGTCCTGGTATTTGGTTGTTACTTGCATCCTTTTTGATTGCAAGCACTTCATTGGGGGGGGAGCAACGCACTTGATATGTGCCTGACATATCAAGGGCAGATAATGTGGAGTTTAGAGAGCAATGCTTCAAGCCGTTCTGTTCTGGTGGTGCGCCTTTGAAACGTTTGTATGTCCGCTTCTGAGGGAATGCAAAAAGGAGAAGCATGGTGAACGGTCTTCAGGTGACTGTTATGGACCCATTTAGGCCATTTGGCCATTGCTGACCAGTAGAAGCTGGACTTGTTGCCTAGTGTTAGAATGCACCTTTCCAACCCATCACCCTTGCCTAGCTAACCGGCACAGCGCTTGTTTTGTTGCTGTGCATGGCAACAGCTGGGGCTCCTCCTGGTTGCTTCCGGCTTGACCTTTTAGCCTTTGATCGCACAAGGGGCACTCGTCTCCGAAACGCAGGAGATTCTCCCTTCGAGACGGTGTCAAGGGGCACCACCCGCTCGCACAACTCTTCTCCTGGGAAGATGATGACACTTCGAAGCGCTTGGGGCCGGGCCGCCTCGAGCTTCTTTCCTGGAAAGCAACCGAGCTTTTGGCACCAACACGAACATCAAATTCACTAAGAGTTAGCAACACTCTCCCAAGGCCAGAGAAAGGAACTGGAACTTGCGGCTTGATGTTGGCGAACTCATGACCGTGCTAAGGTTTCCATTCAGTTTTCGTCACGGGAAGGAGGATAGCTGAAGATGCTTTATGGGACCTGCCTGACGATGAGCAACAAGCCAATCCGGGCTGAAGCTGTGTCAGGATTTGGCTTAGCAACAGTGCTTAAAGAAACATTTGTTCGCACATCGGTCGACTTAGAGTGTGATTCCGCCTTCCTCGAGTTGGAATGGGATTTGGGCGAATCATAGCGTCCTTATCGGTTGAAGCTCGTTTAGCAATGAAGGCAGCTCACTGGATTGTGCCAGACTGAAGCTGACCAATCCTTGAAAATCCAGTGGGTCCAAATTTCAGCGACTGGTCTCAAGATTCAAAACATTGGGTCAGAAATCATTAACAAGCCTGAACTTCAGGGTCGCTTTAGTTTGAGCCCCCAGCGCACGCAACAATCGGACAGCTGGCGCAAGACTCCAGAAGCTTCAACAAGTTTGCGTCACATCAAAACCTTGTCACGTGACTAAGGACCTCACCTGGATCGTCGAGCGACACCGAGCTCATCTCAGAGCGCATGTGATGCGGCGAGTGACGGCCTTTTTCTCATAGAGCGCCCATTGGCGCTCGGCCCTAAACTTGGCCGGGGAAGTTTCTTCATGGCCCTCCGTGTCTTCACGGCCCCCGTGTCTTCAGCAGACTTGAAGATCCTGCGGTTCGCCGGCGCAAGCACGATGGTGCTGTGCACGTTCAAGACGTCTGGCTTTCAACCGCACAGGTGGGGTTCGGTCTATCGGCGCCTTGTACAAAGCACCGACATTTGTGACCCAGTTGCACCATCCTCCGGTCAAAGCGCTGAACTGTGGCGCTTTTGGGGCACGGTTGAGAAGCGCAAAAGGTGGAGGGGAGCTGAGGCTGGCATGGCGAACGCTTCCATGAGCGGTGCTTCGCGCGACGCGTTTGTTTTTGCGCGTCAAGGTTTAGCACGTGTCCGCGTTTGTCAGATATGCTGAGAAAGTGTTCTTCCAAACCCAGGTCCAATGTTGAAAGTTGGGGAATCCGATGGCCTTTTGACAAAGCCTACGAGCCAATGGATGGCTCAGCTCACCTAGGGCTCCGAGAGCCCAGAATGCATTGGATGTGAGAGCAAACCTTGGGCTTGGTGCAATACAGTTCACATGGGGCCGGAGGCAATGATTCGTTCGCCAACACCTTCCCCTAAAGGCACACACGGGATCTCCGGAGCTTTGGGTCCCCACAACAGAGGTGCCTGAGGGAAGATTTGCCTTTTTTGGATCACCCTTTCTCTGTCGAGCTCCATTGGAAAGTGGGAGGGGAGGAGCCCTAAAACCTCAACCCGAAGTCCCAAGTTCATTATCTACAGTTTTAAACCACATTAAACCATATTAAGACATATTTAGCCATATTACCCCGTACTAGGTCAAACAATATCAAACAATACTGTGGATGGACAAAATCCTGCACCGCTTTGGTATCTACACTGGAGTTGAATCCAATTGAATCAGAAATCGTTGGAAAGCTGAACGGTGGTGCGATTTCTGATATAAAAAACGTTTGACACCATACGGAACCACACAAAATCATTTATTGAAACATATTGACCCACGGGACTAGTCGGACTTGTGGCTTCCAGGTGCCTCGGTGTGGGGACTGCTCCCGGCCCCTGGAGCCGGAGGTAGTGCCTTGGAGGTGAAGCGAGCCAGTTGTTGAGTTTGCTTCTGGGTTGTTTTGTTTGATTTATATAGTTTTGTTTTTGGTTGGTTCGTCCATTAGTTGGTGGGTCCATTTGGTTGTTTGGTTGGTTGGTTCATTTGGTTGTTTGGTTGGTTGGCCCATTTGGTTGTTTGGTTGGGTGGTCCATTGGTTGATTGGTCCATTTGGTTGTTTGGTTGGGTGGTCCATTGGTTGCTTGGTTGGGTGGTCCATTGGTTGTTTGGTTGGGTGGTCCATTGGTTGTTTGGTTGGGTGGTCTATTGGTTGGTTGGCTGGTTGTATGGTTTCCTTGGTTGGTCCATTAGTTGGTTGGTTGGTCGGTTGGTTAGTTGGTTCTTTTGGTTGGTTGGTTGGTTGGTTGGTTGGTTGGTTGGTTGGTTGGTTGGTTGGTTGGTTGGTTGGCCCATTGGTTGGTTAGCTGGTTGTTCGCTTGGTTGGTCCATTGGTTGGTTGTTTGGCTGCTTGTTGTGTGTTTGTTTGTTTGTTTGTTTGTTTGTTTTTTGTTTGTTTGTTTGTAGGTTTGTTTGATTGTCGTTGTTGTTTCGCTTGCTTGCTGGTTTGTTTGCTTGGGTTTGTGTTTGGTTGTTTGTTTGTTTGTTTGTTTTGTTTGGTTGGTTGGTTGGTTTGTTTGTTTGTTTGTTTGTTTCTTGGTTTGCTTCTTGGTTTGTTTGTTGTTTGCTTTGGTTGGTTGGTTGGTTGGTTGGTTGGTTGGTTGGTTGGTTGGCCCGGTTGGTTGGTTGGTTGGTCAGTCGGACGTTCGGTCGGTTGGGTTTTTTTGCTTGTTGGTTCGGTTGAAGGGTCAGCTGTTTTTTGCCTTCGCTGGCAGCATATGAGACAGTTGCAACTACTACGTAGTTGTTTGCTCCGTCTGGTGGGTTTTTGGTTTTCAATATATGCTCTGCCACCGGTGTAGCTGGCTTTGCTCGTGGCAAGACAACCTCACTCGGCATAAAGCTTCCTTGCTTAGCGATTCCTAGTTCCTGTTTGGGTGGTGAATCAAGCGAGTCTGTCCCAAGCGTGGGTTGAACACGAGATGCGCGGAACACAATCCAGACCCTCAACGTCCGTCGAAAGCCGAGACTTCCCCATATGGAAAGCAGTTTGCTGCCCCCTCATCATTGGATTTGTTTGGTTCTTTTTCCGGGGGTGGTGTGTGGAATTTGTATGTGTTTTTGTTTTTCCCGGGGGGTGGTGTATGGAACTTGTCTGCTCCCTGGGTGTTTGCGTCCGGGCGCCCCGCGCTTCAAAAAATGGCGCCAAGCCGCGCGCCAAGCCGCGCGCCCAGGCGGCCTGCGGCCGACAGCTCTGCGTGCGCTGCGCCGGGCCCGTGCGGGCGAAGGCCGCGCTGGCGGCGGCGCCGGAGGCGGAGGAAGGCGCGGGGGTTTGGCAGGCGAGCGGCTCCGAGCCGCATCCTTCTTCCCAGCCGTTTGCTTAGCAGAGGGCTCCTGAAAAGATACAGGTTGCCCGTTTGAAACCTGGCCTTTACCACCAAAATAAAGGGAAACCACCATTTACAAGGCAATGTTCGGGTGTATAATGGGAATCTATCACTACTGGACATATCTTCACTTTTTCTCAGGGGTCTTAAACCAATTGGAAGTCTTTGGAAACCGCCGTGGGCAGTTGGCCTCCATGTCCTTTTTTGGAACCAAAGTGGCAGTTGCAATAGACGCTGCTGGCAAAACTAATCAACTGTTCAAGGGGAGATCCAGTGACTCTTCGCGCGGACGTTTGCAGATTTTGGACTATGAGCCTTTCTGGTTCTCTCGCTTGAGGATCAAACTCTACGCAAGATACATATTGAGCTTCTATTTGCAGCAATGTTGGCCCAGCCGTTTTGATTTCTTAGCCCTTGGCTTGCGCGCGGAGTGGGGGACCACCAAAACGGGGAGCCATCATGGAGCTTGATCTCTCTTTCTTGAACTCAGCGTTTGCATGTGTCATTGACAAACACCGGTAGATCGGAGCTTTTGAAGGGGAAGTCTGCTGACCTTTGGTCAAGACAAACACCAAACCTCAGGTTGCAGACATGCGAGCTGTGAGCAGCGCAAGCCTTGTGATGCGGATAGTAATGCAGTTGGCCAGTGGTGCCCATTTTTCTTGTTGTTGGGAAGGGTTCCCCTTTAAAGTCGACTAGCCAAACACAGGGAAGCTCTTTTTTCCCATGACCACTGGGCATCTGAGGTAACGAAGCAAGCCAACTTAATATGTGCGCCACGAGGGTAGCTAGCACTCCGTTGCCCGCATGCGACCGCATGCGACCGCCAGTGAGCGGCTCGAGCTCCAGCGAGGTCTCGCACCTTGGACCTGCCCGGAAGTGGGCTGAAGGCAATTCACATGGTGTTAAATTGGTAGGGGCTGTGTGGGGGGTTTGGGGTGGGAGGGACCCCACAAGAATCATGTAACATGTCCGAGAGTGAGACCCACTCTGCCCTTGAGGTGTACCAACAGATGTGAAGCCAGGGATCAAGCAGTTGGGAGAGAAAACCGCAGCCCCGACAAAAGTAGTCCATGGTAGCCCGTGACCTGGCATGACAGAGTGCGGGGCAGCTCAGCTCACGACCAATAGGCATACTATTGCTCTCTGACTTTTAAAGAATTGAACATGTCCGGGGGCACTTTCCTAGTCTGCGGGATTCCTCGCTGAGCTTCGACAACGAGACCAAACACTGGTCTGCAGGCAATTCCTTTGGCGAGCCTGGACGTTTCTCCTTCCCAAGAAGCGCAGCTAGGCCACTGACATGGAACTGAGAGCTTCTTCTTGCTGGTGTGATAAGTAGGGGAATGAGAAATGGAACGAACCTGCGGGATTCCCGAAGGGAAACTAGTAGTTGATTGTTACCCTGTCGACTTACTTGCTGGTGCTCAGGGAGTGAGGGAATGAACCTAGGGGTCCCCTTAGAGGAAACCACCAGTTGGGATTCGGTTTTTCTCGGGGCCAGGCTCCATTTCTCATCTTTCGCGAATCTCTCGATCAGCGATCGCACTTTTCGTGGGGCTCCGGCGGCTCCGCCTCGAAAGCGCTGAGGCCGGAGCCGGAGGCGAGCAGCGAGCCGCCGAGGAAGAAGGCAGGGAGCAGCCGTCCATGGCTTGGGCTCGCTGATCGGTGCAAGAGAGACGCAGGGGATGAGAGATTTGGAGTCTGAGCCCGAGAAAAACCGAATTTCACCTGGTGGTTTCCTTTTTTCGGGGACCCTCAGGTTCATTCCATTTCTCGTTCCCTACTTATCGCACCAGCAAGTTTGGGAGCAACATTGTGTCAGGTGTCCATAAATTGGTTCAGATGGGTTTGGTGATTTCCAGCGAGACTCCCTGCCGTTCAAGCCACCAAACCAAAAATAAAACAGTTGGAGGGAAGCTCATTGGGGAGCGTGTCAAAACTAGGGGCCCATGAACGGACACCACAGGAAAGATCACCGAATGCTTAAATGTATCCTTATCTTTGACGTGCCCATTTCATTGAAGGCTTTCACGGTCGAACCGTTCTCTGGGTCCTTATCCCGAACTCACGGCGTGGGCGGTGAACTCTGGCTGATGTCGGTGAGCTCGGCCCCGCAGGCGACCCTCGTCCCGCGGAAAGAGGAGCCGGAGCCGGGAAAGCCGAACAGAGGCGGGCGATTCTGTGGACACTGCCCGTTGGTTGTATCAACATTCCCACCACGGACGTGCACTTGCCTTTGTCAGAAGTCAACTGTTTTCCAAAAGGGGAGCCTGCTCACCTCTGCGTTGGAGGGATCTCCTGCGCCATTGCAAGTGCCATAGATTGTGCTGTCAACATGGTATGGCCTGTGGGAAGCTTTGCACGATACTATCTAGAGAACGACTTGGATGTGGCTTTTGTGGATCCACCCCTGTAGGATTTTAAACGAGCACTAAACGAGTACTCGCATTAAATACCCTACACGCGGGAGAACAGCTGAAATCCACAAAGCGCGCATCCGAACCTGGCAAGGGCTTGAAGCAGGAGCCCAACCTTGGGCCACTTCAATCAACGAGCAAACCCTTTGAATGTTTGCAACACCTATTCAGAGAACCGTCAACATTCGCACAGAGCTTTTGACAATTTTAATACCTGCAACACACTCGCGATGGCCATGGTGGGGGACACCGTGCCATTGGCCATCGAGAAGACGGTTCCTGTCTGAACATTAGATGGCATCTTTCTCAATTCGGGCGGCAACTCGGCAAGATTGTGATGGTATTGGAACAGTACTCCGCGAGGTCTGGGGCGACAACTTGCTTGAGGACGTATATCAAGCGCAGATTGACGACTGCGCCTACGCCGTTCGCGTTGCCATTGACGTTGCCACGGACTCAGTTGCAGCCTTTGGAATCGGTTTTCCTGTCCTTGGCTCAAGTAGTCGCTGGCAAATTGATCTACTGGCTGTCAGACCAATACACCAGCGAAAAGGGCTTGGGAAGCTTTTGTTACAGTCTTTGGTGAGTGCGGGACGCCGACAAGGACACACTCGTGCTGAGGGCGTCGTTCGGGTTGGCAACACTGGGAGTGAAAAGGCTTTTGAAAGCCATTGGTTCGTGCCCGATGAGCTGGTACAAATGATGGCGTGGGCACCTTCAGACGCGTCCATCACCGCTGGCCCCGAGTCCGTGCTCAGTTCCAAGTTTGACATTGGAAACACGGGTCAGTTGGATATCCGTTTGTTGCCCATGAACACTGTGACATACAAAGGGATGTGGATTGAGGGCTTCGATGGATGCAAGGTTGCGGCTGATTACTTTGACGTCGAAACTGATGCAACTATTGCGGATGTCGTCCATAGAGTGGTCAAGATTGCACGGGACAGGATACATTATGAGGGTCGAACGTCAGTAACGGCGTTACTACCGAAGCAACTGGTCGACATGCTTCCTGATGTGGATACATCCCGTGATTGTTACGGGCAATATCGTGTATTCCGGTGTGATTTGTCATGTATTCCACCCACAAGCGCGCCGCTACCTCTGGGACATTTGGAAAAATGCAACTCTGGCTGGCCAAAGATATGTCAATGCAAGCTGGCATCAAGTGACTTGCAGGATTTTGTTTCAAGTATCAGTATGGATATGCGCTAAGTTTTTGGGTAACTTGTTTTGGTTTGTTAGTAGACATTACAAACATGGACTTGGATGTGTTGATCATTATTTTATGGTGCCGTTGTACTTTTGTTGTTATAATTGGTGAGGACTCAATTTGAACTTTGAGACTATAGCACAATATTTGAGTATGGTGTGTAGTCTTGGCAATATAGGCTATTTGATTTGTTTCAAAGTATTATTAACATCGCATCTTTTTCAAACAAGAAACAACACACAAGCAAACCAAGACCCTCTCGTTCAAGCCGCGAAAACGTGTTGCTGAAGGTCCATGGTTTGCATTGGTGGTTTGGGGGAGTTGAACCCCTAGCTTTTGTGGAGGGCAAATGTTACAAAACAGCCCAAGTGGTTTTGCTTCCCTTTTTCCTTCCCCTCTTTGCTTTCCCCATCACTTTTTCTACTTCACCATGCTACAAGTACAACTTGCACACAGAACCCCAGCCCTCAATTTTCTGAAATGACAAATGCTCGCAAACCTCAACCACCCCCGGCAATCCCGGACCACGCAAGCCTGCCCTTCTTCCAGCCTGGCTCTCAGGAATCGCGCTCTTCTTCACTCACCCCTGGTGATTTCCCCTGACACAATTTGTCCCAAACGCAGCCTCTATAATTTATAACCAAGGGAAACAGCCTAACCAAGCGAAATAACCAGATGTCGAACTCTGAAAACCGCCAGATGAGCCACAATCAAAACCCGGGTAGATGAAGGTTAGGGATAATCCCACCAATAAATAGCTGCGGATATCCGCCTTCTTAATTCTTGAAGCGTGGTTCTGGGATTACGACCATTTGAATACCGGGTTTAGATTGTGTTTCCCATCAGTATGGCTCAAAATTTAGCCCACCAGGAAATTGGACCGCAGGTTTTAGTTCTTTCCATTTTATCAGGGCAAGCCATTTCGGGGTGACCAACTATTTTTGGACCCACAGCCATCGCCGAGAGATTCCCGCGAGGCCGCCCCACGCTGCAGAAGCGCAAGTCCTTCGAGGAGAAGGCCGAGGAGGCGGCTTCGCGGCTCCAGGCGTGGTTTCGCGACGGGTTTCGTACCCGGGCGAAACGGGGGCGTCAGGTTTTCGTTCGGCGGTTTTTGCGGCAGATGGCACCTGGGGACCCCGTTTTTTTTCTTCTTCTTTTTTTGTTTGTGTGTGTGTTTTCCATTGGCGGAAATGCGTTTTCTTGTTAGCCTTCCCGGCATCCATGACTACTGGATATAGTTGTTCTTGAAGTTTCTCCATTTTGCCAAACACGTGCAGTGTCAGTTCTTACCAGTCTGCCGGGGCCTTCTGAGATAGCTTTTGCAAACAAATTAGATTTGAAGCATCAGGATGCTGGTGGGCGTCACTCTGCAAGGGGAAACAGCTCTGAAGCGAGAGAGCGAGAGAGAATCGCAGGCGAAGCTGGACAAGTTTAAGAAAGAGCAGGTGGGCATTGGCATGCAGAGGGTATGGAACAGATGAGCCAGTCAAAACCCGGGTAGATGAAGGTTAGGGAGAATCCCAACCATAAATAGCTGCGGGTATCCGCCTTCTTAATTCTTGAAGCATGGTTCTGGGTCGACCATTTTGATACCGGGATTTGATTATGACTCAGATGACTAGAGCGGCTTGAACATGGAGGTGCGATGCCTTCCAAGTTTTTTCTTGCAGCCATCCATGTACCCGAAAGGTCCCCTCCCAGAATGGTTGTTAAATCAAAGTTCACTTTGAGACTCCTTGCGCAGGAGCAAAAGATGATTCAGGAGACTGAGGGACAAGATGTGCATGGGGTTTTGGTGGGGCAGCTGCAAGCGCAAATCGCAAGCATACGTCATCTCCCCTGGGCTTAGGCTACAGTGAGCTAGTGTTGAACACGAGTACTTCGGATGAACAAAGTTGGCATGCAAGATACGTTCTGGCTTTAGGTTGCCCTGCCAACGTGCTGCGGGATTGTTCTTGCAGGAGGAGGTGTCAAAGATGAAGCGCTTAGTGAAGGTCCGGAGACTCGCAAGTTGCCGGGCATCCAAAACCATGGCATGTTTTGGAATCCAAACTGTTTTGGCCATTCAACATTCCCTGTAGCTGGCTGATTGGCACTTCCTGTTGCGCTTGAGCACTGACTCCCAATAGCTTGATCAAATATTCTTCAGGCGAATCTGTCGTGCCGAATTCTCCAAAGAATGAAGCCCAATCGCCGGCCAAATGGCGCGCCTGTCACTTTGCTTTCCAAGTTTCAGGCGGGGTAGCTCTTGCTCAAGGAAACCCTTTGGGCCGGCATGTAGAGCCTGCGCACAAGCTTGAACGTCCTGAGCCCTGCAAGAAAGAGAAGAAGGAGAAGAAGAGCGAGAAGGAGCCCAAGCTAAAAGGCGCCACACTGCACGACTTTGTGGCCCCCTAATGCGAACAATTCATTGTTATGAACATTGTTCTACGAATTGCATGATATGATGTAACAAAGGCAATTGGGGAGTTCTCATGCCGATGTTCCACACCGTCAGATGCCTGTGTTTGTTTTTCATGGGCCACTCATTTGCGTCCGTGCACCTGGCGTGAGGGAAGAAGAAGAGCAAGAAGTGCTCGTCTGAGTGAGCGATTCCGCATCGTGCAGAATTTGCAGGACCAATTCGTGGGCAATGTGGAAGGAGTTAGCTCAGGGAGCCAGTTGCGGCAGCTTTCGGCTGCAGAAAGAAAGTATGTGGATGGCAGGAAGGCTCTAGTATTGTGGTTGGTGCTCCTGTTAAAAGGTGAAGGCTAAATAAAAGTGCGTGCATGCTTTCAGGCTTTGAGCGGCTTGTCAGTCAAATTCGCTTGAGCGGACTCGAACATGCAAGTGCAGCAGGCAAATGCAGCGGTCGGACTCTGCTGCTGAGCATCATGTGTGCGGAAAAGAGTGCAGGGTTGTTAATCTGTCAGCGTCGAAGCGCATTCTTCGAAAGTGGGCTTGCCGGAATACTGATCAGGTACAAGCGAGTCACAAGATTGCAAGACCCCGACTCCGAGCGTGCGAAAGCCGAAGGCCGACAAGTTGAGGCTGCGTGGCCGCGCATGAAACCATGCCTCCTTGTCTTGGCGAATGGTCGAGGACGATCACCCCGCCAGCACGGGAACACGAGAATGGGGTTCGACGCTCTGAAGTTGCCTTCCAGCACGGCGACTCGGCGCGTGCCGCGTGTTCGCGGCGCGTTGAAATGCACCTGCGGCACTGTGTGGCGTTCGTAAAATGCGGCTTTCGCCAACGGCTCGATGCGTCAACGTTACAACGCCTTTCTTGGAACGCGGGAAACGTTCAGGTTCCGCATTCCATGGGGGCTCGTGCAGGTTGTGTGGAGGCCCGTTTATGATGGGGCGCTGGGTTCGTTGCGCAGCTTGGAGTAAGCATCTTGGCTTCCAGCCAGCTTGAGATTGGTCATGGCATAGCTTCGGTGACAAGAAAAGGAGAATCAGAATGCACATGTTTGGGATGAGCCAAAAGAAGTCGACTTGGGGACCAGCTGCAGCACAAAAAGCATGCTGGGGGACACATTGCTTGATTTTACGGTTTCCTTCGTCCGGAGCTATTGCCAGCCACGCTGCCAGTGCAGCGCCCGTGGAAGATGGCCATTTCAGGCGGGGCAGCCAGCAAATCAGAGAGCATGTGGCTATGGGTCAAAACCCTGGCCCCGGTGATCACCCAGAAAGCCTTCTAAAACGACATCAGTGGAGTGGTAACCATTCACAAAGGTCGGGGGTTCGCCTGTGCCCGTCCCATTCACAAACAGTCACCTTAGGTTTTGACCCATAACCATGTGTTTTCTTTTTGTGGCGTGGTCCAGTTGTTGATGTGTCGCTTAATGTTGACCCCATGGCCTATTAATTCACACATTTTGAATACAAGCCGGAACATCCACCGGAGCACCGCTGTCACGGCTCACAATCAACGGGGAGTTGTGCATTTCATATCACATTGATTCGCAAAATAAAACCAGCCAATCCCTGCCTGCAACTTGCAACCTTCCGCCACGCAGTTACGTTGACATGTGCGCGTGAAACGCTGTCTCAAGATCCTTCGCCTCGGTTTGATTTTCCAAATTTGGGCTGAGCTGAAGGTTTGCTGGAACTACTCGACTGAGATCACCTCCAAGAGGCGACAGCACTGCACAGTTCAACCACACTACAACAAACTGCACAGCACTCACAGCACCCACCATGCGACGCAGAATGCACAGCCAAACATCAAATATAATCCATCTCTCTCTCTCTCTGTCCCTCTCTGTCTCTCTCTGTGTCTCTCTCTCTCTCTCTCTCTGTCTCTCTCTCTCTCTCTCTCTCTCTGTCTTTCTCTGTCTCTCTCTCTCTCCCGTCTCTTTCTGTCTCTCACTCTTTCGTCTCTCTCTCTGTCTCTCTTTGTCTCTCTCTCTCTCTCTCTCTCTGTCTCTCTCTGTCTCTCTCTGTCTCTCTCTGTCTCTCTCTTTTTCTCTCTCTCGGTCTCTCTCGGTCTCTCTCTGTCTCTCTCTGTCTCTCTCTGTCTCTCTCTGTCTCTCTCTGTCTCTCTCTGTCTCTCTCTTTCTCTCTTTGTGTCTCACTTTTCTCTATTGCTCTCTTTATTTTCTCTTTCTTTCTCTTTCTTGTTGTTTCTTCTTTGTTTTTCTTTCTTTCTCTTTCTTGTTTTTCTTTCTGCTTCTTTATCTTTCTTTCTCTTTCTCTTTCTCTTTCTCTTTCTCTTTCTCTTTTTCTTTCTCTCTTTCTTTCTTTCTTTCTTGCTTTCTTTCTTTCTTTCTTGCTTTCTTTCTTGCTTTTTTGCTTTCTTTCTTTCTTGCTTGCTTGCTTGTTTTTTTCTTCTTCTTTCTTTCTTGCTTTCTTGCTTTCTTGCTTTCTTGCTTTCTTGCTTTTTTGCTTTCTTGCTTTCTTTCCTTCTTTCTTTCTTTCTTTCTGTTTTTTTTCTTTCTTTCTTTTCTTTTCTTTCTTTCTTTCTTTCTTTCTTTCTTTCTTTCTTTCTTTCTTTCTTTCTTTCTTTCTTTCTTTCTTTCTTTCTTTCTTTGTTTTTTTTCTTTCTCTCTCTCTCTCTCTTTTTTTCTCTCTTTCTTTCTTTCTCTCTTTCTCCTCGTCCTTCCTCCCAGCTCCCCTGCTAACTCAGGGGCGCAGTTCGAGGCCGACTCGGACACAGACCTCCTCTATGACCTAAACTGCGGCTCCCCTTGCCTCGTTTGTTGCTTCGCCGCCCCCCGGTCAGATCGTCGCCCCCCAGCCCAGGATGGGTAACGTCGCCTTCTCAATCAATTGCTTAGCCCTGAAACAAGCAGTGCGCCCGGGGTCCCAAAGTATCCGCCTCGAAAACAAACCATGTGTTCCCGCACCCGGGTGCTGCAGAACTTGCCCACCGGTTTTTCCAAGAGGGAGGGTGGCCTTGCAGCGACCTCTCCAAATTGTGCAGGCCGCCCCGGCCCCAGTCTTCCGCTGGATTTTGCGGCGGTGCAACAGCATGCCTCGGCACCCCACCCCCAGCGATTGCACTGGCTTTGTATCAGACGGCAGGCAGCCGAACCATGTTTTGCCTGACGGCAGCTCGGGGTCATCGTGGATGGACTCCAGCTAGCTGTCGACTCCGCCCTTGCACTTAAAGCGGCAAACGGCAGGACGAGCACGTGCTCGAGGCCTAGCAACGACCCCGCCAGCGCTGACTGGACGGCGAACGAGAGGAGATTCCACCATCGCCCCCCCCAAGCGACGGCGGCTGTCCGCCGGAGCGAGGGCGGCGCGCGTTTTGCTCGGAACCCGGATGAGGCCAGCGACAAGCTCGACGGCGTCGCGGCCCCAGCGCCCGCCAACCTCACTAGCAACAGCGCAAAAGCGGCGCGGCCCCGGGCGCTGTAGCAGCGAGCTTGCGTTGCTCTGTCGCACGAAACGCCGCGCCGTCGCAATCGGCGGCTCGCGCCTGCGCCTGGCCCTCGCGGCTCAAGGGCGAGACAGGCGTGGCGTCGCAACAACGCAACGCCCGACTCTCACCCAAGCTCTCTCTTTACAGGTGTAGCCCGCCTGGCCAGCCAGCCGGCGCGCGGGCAAGCAGCGACATAGTCGCCGAGCGCATCTGTGGGGGGAACGTTCATACACGCACCGGGACGCGGCTGAAACAGCGGTTGGCTGCGTTGTCAAGTGACACGCATCCAAAAGGCAAGGGAGCGCTCCTTCTTGGAGGGCTTTCGTCAGGGATGTGCTTGCTGGCGGTGAGCTCTTTGCTGGACGCAGCCGCATGCGGCGAAAGGCGCCTTGCGTGTGAGGAGCTGGCTCTAAAAAAAGCAGCAGGCCACCAGTGCCCGGGGCCCCTAAAAAATGTTTGTCCAAAAAAGGGATCGCGTTGCGGGAAAACGCGCAACAGGAAAGAACTTGATGCACGCATTTACTATTGTTTCTGCAAATCCCGACCGGCCAGATCGGCAGCACGGGCATCGCGACTTGCGCGCATTCACTCGCAGGACGGCCACGTGTAAAAGGCCTGCCCACTTTCTGCCAACACTAGTCCGCGCATGCATATGGGGCACGCATTGTCAGCCCCGGCTGCAGCTTCTTGCGGGGAGCTGCCTCCTCGCCAGAGCCACTCGGGCGCGACTGGCGCCGGCGCCCCGCGGGTTGCCACCTAGGGCGTTTTTGGCGGGTCAGGGAAAGATGCGCGATCCCGCGCCCGCCAATTTTGATGCGGAGCTCAACGCTGTGCTGCCGTTTGTGCACATGGTTCTTTTTCATCACACCTTTTGTCTCCTGAGTCTCAGCTCGTCAGTGCTTCAGGGTCCCGGGCATTAGGGTCCCCCCCTGCAAAAGGAACGCGGTTGTTGCGGGGGCCACTCCCCTCGGCGCGGAAAAAATTGAGTGCCCCAGCAACGTACTCAAGTCCGGGCAGGGGCCACCAGGTTGCACCGGCTAACATCTTTCTTTGACAGGCGCACGCGGCACAGCTCCAAAACATGGGCTTAGCGGCGCAGGGCCCGGCGGCAAAGACCTTGCCAGAGGGCAGACGGAGCAGTTGAGCCGCCGGGCCTTCCGGAAATTAGTGAAATTCCAAAGACTACGCAGCAGAGCAAAGGATAACCGCCCTTTTGGGCGGAGATGCTTGGATTCTTCTGTCGGCGGAGGGGCTTGGGCACTTGGATTTCCTGGAATGATGACATGTGGCCAAACGAACTGCCAAATTTCCTCGTCTACCTCGTGCGGCGTTTAGCCCGGCTGCGCGCCCAGCGCGCGCCGCCGCCGCTGGCGGGTTTCCCAGATGGTAACGCTGGCGCAGATGTTGCGGTGTGCTGTTTGCCGGCGTGGGCGCATTCGTGCAAAACAGATGGCTCGGCGCCGTGCTGCGGCTTGCTTTGCGCAGCGCCTATGTGCACGCATGGTAGGGTTTGCTTTGAGCAGCTGCCTTCACCGCTTCTGCCAAGAGCCTGACTCGTTTGCCGTCGCCTCCTGCCAGAGCTGGCGCGCGCCTGCGTGCTCGGGACGCGCCGCGCGCCCTGCGCGCGCCCGCCCGCCCTCGACGCGCCGCGGCTTGGGCGCCCTGAGCGCCCTGGGTGTGTGCGTGTGCCCGCTAAACGCGTCTGCTACGCAACTCTGACTGCAAACGCGCCTGCTACACCTCCCAACACACGAGAAGAAGGATTGGCGATGGAAAAGGCGCTGTTTGACCCCCCTCCGCTCCCGGGCGCAGACGCCAGAAAAATTGAGCCCCAAAAATGCAACTTACATGTTTGACCCCCCCCACCACTAGTCGAGGATTATGGGAGTGGTGATGCGCACAATATCCCTTGCAAGGTTGGGATCTCTGCGGTGGATGGCCGGCAGGTTGTGAGCCACGAAACCAAAAGCGCAAGGTCGGCGTGTCGCAGGGTCAATCACCTCTGCTACGCCGAGTGCATTAACAGCAGCCAGGCAACCTGCACAGGAGGCGTACGTGTTTGTTGCGCACTGCGTCAAGTTGGGCCCGGACATGAACCTCCCGGTCGACCGCCTCGATGACCGGCGCCTTGAGGTTGTCGCAAACGGCCCCCCCCCTTAAGCAGGGTTTCGGGAGACTCGACTCGTGCTGGTGCAAAAAGGCGTGTGAGGAAAAAAACAATGAGGATGGGCGGCCATAGTTGGTAGCGATTCATACAAAGGAGTTTTTTTCTTTTTTTTGTGCCAGTGCCGCAAATGTGCCGCCTTCGGGCTTACAGGCCTCGACTCGAATCGACTCGCGGGGATGCGTTTGTGCGCAAGGCGTGAGTTGACGGTGACTCGAGCGCCCGCCTCGCGGCAGACCCGAGCGGCCGCTTGCTCGACAGGGCAACCGCGGCTCCGCAACAACCCAGCCCGGGCGCACGCTGCGCGGTGGTCGCAAAAGGGGTCGAGGCGGCGACGGCGCCGGCAAGCGCGATCGGAGATGGGAAGGGAGTCGGAGGGGCCGAAGGGCGAGCGTACGGAACAAGTGCGAAGGGACCGACAACTGAGGCGACACCGGAAGGACAGTGAACAGCCGACCAGCAAACGGGTCCTGCTGCGACACAAGCAAGCAACTGGAAGAGCGGCCAGGCTGGGTGTGCAGTTGTGCGGACAAGCTGCCACCCATGGGCGGGACCTCCAAGCAAGGTGAGGCCATCGGTCAAGCAAAG